CACTTTTCTGTGAAATTGTCTGTGGCTTCTTCATGAATTCATTTTTCATTTTCATCATGATTTCTTTGATGATGATGATGGGTGATGATGGTATTGATAGTATTGATAGTTAATGCAAGGATATGATACCCATCTGCACTATTCACAGAAGGCTGGCAGTCACAATGGGACAAGATAATACTATGGTAAGAAGAAATTATCCAAAGCCTACAAATCAAGATTGCAATATATATCTCCTTCTTGTCAACATCCAAACACACTTGTAAGCAAATGTCTGAATGCTGTTAACTATTGTAAAAAAGATTCATATATCTCTTGCACTTTTTTGAGGGTAAGACGCATAAAAACTGGCTACGATGGCGTTGACAGACAGGTGTGTACATCGTCTGATGTTGCCATGTCGACAATGTTAAACAAATGCTGCTAAACACCCCTGACCATTTTGGTAAGCACTGGAATGTTTACATCCAGGTTTGTGGGCCAAGAAACCTACTTCTCAACATGAGCATGGCATCTGGCAGGACTGAAACGATTTTTGTGAGGGGCAACCTTTACAATTGGCAGATTGGGTTAGCAGTATGGAATTTGAACAGCATGCTTAGGTTGGGTCAAGTTGCTCTGTACTGAAGTGGTTTTTTGGATGGTCTCAGCGCCATGGTCTACCTGGCCAACAGTAGATGGCTTTAGTCACACACTGCGGTCAGTGTGGAATGTGGTCAGGGAGGCAAGGGTCTTCTCAATGGGAGGCTGTGTTTTTCTGAGGGTGGAATTAGTGGAGAGGGGAGGTAAAAGGGGGGTGCTTTAGTGGGATTTTTTTCTTGGGTTGTTTTGAAGCTTGGAGATGGGAACTGGGTGAATTATTGAGGACAGATGAAGGGGTTTGGAGTAGAAGCCTGTATCAAGAAATTGGTGGGGGGTGAGGAGAATGTAACTAAACATAGTTGGAAATTGTAATTACAAATTGTGGGTGGGAGTTTTAATTTGTTTATAAAGGGGATGTGAGGGAATTGTCATCTCGAGGATGTCGAGTGGAAATGAAGGGGTAGGGTGGGTTATAGACAACAGGGGTTGGGGTGGGTGAGAATGTTGTAATCAACGTACAGCAGTGGGGTGGGACTTGTAACTAACAATGATAGGGAAGATGTAACTGATGGGGTTAGTGAGGGACTGTAGCCATCAGGGGTGGGGAGGATATTGTAACTGATGGGGTTAGTGAGGGACTGTAGCCATAAGGGGTGGGGAGGATATTGTAACTTGATGGGGTTAGTGAGGAACTGTAGCCATCAGGGGTGGGGAGGAGATTGTAACTGATGGGGTTAGTGAGGAACTGTAGCCATCAGGGTGGGGAGGATATTGTAACTGATGGGGTTAGTGAGGAACTGTAGCCATCAGGGATGAATGATGAACATGATTTTATGGATATGTAACTTTTTTATTCTGTGGAGGGTGATCGTTTATAGATTCTAATGCCGCTGACAAGCAAGTGATGAACAACATTAGAATCTATGTCGAAACGTCACCTTCCACAGAATAAAATAAGTTGTATATCTATAAACATTGTCATCATTCTTCATCAACTAAAATGCCCATCAAAGAAGTAATAATAGGGAAGATGTAACTGATGGGGTTAGACAGGAACTGGAACCAACATGGGTGGGGAAGGTGCTGTAACTAAAGATGATAGGGAAGATGTAACTGATGGGGTTAGACAGGAACTGTAACCAACATGGGTGGGGAAGGTGCTGTAACTAAAGATGATAGGGAAGATGTAACTGATGGGGTTAGACAGGAACTGTAACCAACATGGGTGGGGAAGGTGCTGTAACTAAAGATGATAGGGAAGATGTAACTGATGGGGTTAGACAGGAACTGTAACCAACATGGGTGGGGAAGGTGCTGTAACTAAAGATGATAGGGAAGATGTAACTGATGGGGTTAGACAGGAACTGTAACCAACATGGGTGGGGAAGGTGCTGTAACTAAAGATGATAGGGAAGATGTAACTGATGGGGTTAGACAGGAACTGTAACCAACATGGGTGGGGAAGGTGCTGTAACTAAAGATGATAGGAAGATGTAACTGATGGGGTTGGTAGGAACTGTAACCAACATGGGTGGGGAAGGTGCTGTAACTAAAGATGATAGGAAGATGTAACTGATGGGGTTAGACAGGAACTGTAACCAACATGGGTGGGGAAGGTGCTGTAACTAAAGATGATAGGGAAGATGTAACTGATGGGGTTAGACAGGAACTGTAACCAACATGGGTGGGGAAGGTGCTGTAACTAAAGATGATAGGGAAGATGTAACTGATGGGGTTGGTAAGGAACTGTAACCAACATGGGTGGGGAAGGTGCTGTAACTAAAGATGATAGGGAAGATGTAACAAATGGGGTTGGTAAGGAACTGTAAGCAAGTGTGGTGGGGAAGGTGTTGTCACAAACAGGAAGAGAGTTATTAATGATGGGGATAGGAAGGATCTTGTTACCAGAAGGGGGGGGAGGATGTTGTAACCAACATGGGTGGGGAGGAAATTGTAACTGACGATGATGGGGAGGACTTTGCAACTGATAGGGGTAGGGAGGGAACTGTACCTGATAATGTACATCAGTTGTATCTAACCAGGAATGCAGTTGTCTCCATCACCAAGTTTACTTCCACACATGCCAGGGTCAATCACTGATTGACTTCCGAGTGAGTGGTCTCCATCAAGGGGTCATTACTCGCATCAGCAACATTACTAATTACCAGTGGGCAAAGATTAGATTGAGGTAGGCAATTATAGATTGTTTTCGCTTTGGGTGACTTCATTACACACATCCATTCCTTAATAGGAATAAATGTGAGACTTTTTCAAGGTTAACATTCTCAACTAACAATTACATCCAATTTATTTCTTGGCAGAGCTGGTCATTGAGGGGCAGGACTGACCAGTAGCAGTAAATAGGTCAAGCCAACATCTGAATATATAGCTCTTTATACTTCGCCATTACTTCAATCCTCTACACTTTCATTCTCATTGAATATTTGGTGCAGCAAACACAGAGATAGCATTCATAACATTACAAAATAAAGGCATGTTCTCGACAAAAGAGCCTGTGGGGTAGTCTCGTGGCTGAAGTGTTTGCTTTATCACACTGAAGATCTGGGTTCAATTTCCCATATAGATACAATGTATGAAGGCAAATATTGGTGTACCCCACTGTGTTAGTGCTGTAATATTGATAATAGCAGCATTAAATCATACTCACTCACTCACTCACTCACTCACTCACTCACTCACTCACTCACTCACTCACCACACTCACTCACTCACTCACTCACTCACTCACTCACTCACTCATGTTAAACAAACCACATATATGTATTCCATCAGAAAAATAATACAGGGTAAAACTTTTTAAATGACCATTTCATATGGTATCGTACAGAAAATTGTGGAGCAGTGAGGGTATCCTATATGGGTAAGGCATTCGCTCGTCCGGGTTCAATTCCCCACATGAGTACAATGTGTGAAGCCCATTTCTGGTGTCCCCCAACATGATATTGCTGGAATATTGCGGTGTAAAACTTAACACACTCACTCACAGAAAATTGTGCTGTTTTTTTCCTAGGTGTTTCTTTGAAAACTTCTTATCGTATTTAGCAAGGGAAGTCTTCTCTCTGTCTATCACTAGAGTGTCTTCATTGTAAACACAGGAGAGGTGCACTTGCGCTGTGCATTACTCACAAGTTTCTTAATGTGCTTCTGATATGGACAACCTGTATCTCATGTACACTGAGGTGCAACAGATTGAATTTCTTTCCAAAGACTTTCCATCGTAATTCCCGCTTGAGGTAAGCTTTTGCCACAAACAGCTGCCAAAATATAACTAAATGTGCCCAACGTCCTTCGAAAGAGAGGTTCTCATTAGAATGTTCCCATCTTGTTCACTTCATTGCGTTAGTTTGTGGAAAAATCGTTTAACGTTAATTTGAAGGTTATATATTTCACATTCGGATACCTGGTCACATAGTTTAACTTGAAAGATGGCCAAATATTTAAAGAAGTATGTGTTATTTTTGGCGCCATGTTGAAACATTGGACTCCATCTGCTCACCGTCTAAGAACAAAAGCTTTCTTGGAGATGGTGCCAGTGGAATATCCAGTTAGGGAATACCGTCTTAGTATGCGTTGGCACATTGTCATATACTTTACCCTGAAATATGCATCATATCTCTTTAGTTGTTCGTCATATCAAAATGAAACTACCGGTATTATAAAATTTTATTTTAACTCATAATGGCTGTACTGAATTTTTTTCAGTTTTGGATTTTTATATTATCAAATTAACTTTCAAACTTTTAGAAATCTAACATGATTCTGGAAATGTTTTTTGTAACTTTAGTTACATAATTAATATTTATTATTAATTCATTGAATTATTTGATTTAAATATCCGCAAGTCACAAACATTTTTCACATGATAACTTCAACATATTACATATTTCACTGCATGGTTTTTGAATATGAAATGTGTTTTTAATAAAATTGATAACATTGGAATGTTTATTACAATAAACCATGTTTTTAAGTTTTCATCATTTAGTTATATTCATCACTGGTAGCATATCATCATACCTTCATGGCTGATGCTTATAATATCAATCACTAGTTTGTATTTACTTACTTACAGGCTGTCATCATATATCTGGAATATTGCTAACTTTGGTGTCAAACAAAAAAAAAGGAAATGAATTATCAAGTTCTTATTATTTCACGAGTCCTCTGTGTCATTTTTTCAGAAGATTACTAGACTGATGCTCATGCTGTTGATCACTGGATTATCTGGTCCAGATTTCATTATTTACAGACCGATGCCATATAGCTGGAATAGTGCTGAGTGTGGTGTTAAACAACAAACAAACAAACATAAGATTACTTCATTGTCATTATTTTTGTCAAAACTATATGCATGCATTTGTCCACAAATAAACATGGTTGTCCTTAACTCTGATCACATGGTTCGAGCGATGCAGCATGATGGTCATTCTACTCAACTGTCTCACCCTTGGAATGTACAAGCCCTGCGAGGACCAAGTGTGCACCACCACCAGGTGCCTTGTTCTGGAGGGATTTGACCATTTCATATTCGCATTTTTTGCTGTGGAGATGGTAATCAAAATGATTGCAATGGGTGTTTGCGGAAAGGATACCTACCTTGCTGATTCCTGGAACAAGTTAGACTGCTTTATAGTTCTAGCCGGGTAAGGTCTTGTTTTCTATTCTCATTTTTTCAGAAACTCATTTCGAAATTCGTTTTACAGGGTTTTTTTAATAGTGTTCATATCATTAATCATTTTAAGTTAGGCAATAGGATCTATCTGTACTTCCCTCTGTCTGCTTGTATGTATTGATGCAAATCATCTGATTTTTAGAAGAGCATTGATAAAAATACTTGTAAAAGCATAAAAATGAGTACTTGATGGCATGTGCTCAATAATATTAAAAATCAGGTGAAAATGCAATTGATATGTTGTGAAGATGTGAAGAGCTTAATGCTAGTTTTATGACATAACCATATCTAAATATTCATCTTCATAGTTAAAAATGATGACTTTGCTAAGTTCTTTCAACATCAGAAATGTATGTGGTTATGCCTGACTGCCTATGATAATTGAATGGATAGACAGCATTAAGAGCTTCACATCACAAAACTCAAGTCAAACTCATTTTGTTGTTTTTAGGAAAACAAATTTAATTAAACCTGTCTTAGAGTTCTTTACAAATTTACAACAGCTTTATATTCAGTGGAAATATGTATATAAAAAAAGAAAATTCATTTGGCACCCATTCAGTGATAATTAACTATATTCAAAATGAAATTGAACATTCTTTATATATATATGAAAAAGAAGAAAAATGTTAATGATTAATTTAATTTGAATGTAGTTGATTATCACCGAATGATATCAGCATTGTTACGTGAGAAATATCAATAACTTTTCTTCATGGCTGTTTAGGTTTCCTGACTTCAAAATGATTTTGAACTTACAACTGTGGAAGTTTTGTGATCATGAATAACATGAGTTGTGAATCCCTGTTATGTATGTGACTTTGATGTTTTTAGTAACTGCCATTAGTTTCAGCTTCTTGCATGTGTGTTCCCATTGCTATTGCATGTCAACCAGGTCATCAGCAGTGGTTGAAATTAATTACTATAATCAGTGTCTCATCAATTGCCAGTCTGTCAGTATCTTGAAATTTAGAATTAGATCTGTTCAATCTTGACTCAGTTTCATATTGTTTTGAGTTTGGTGAATTTGTAAATAGAGTCCATAGTTGTCATCTTAGACCCGTTCCACAACAGCAATCTTAGCGCTAAGACAAGTCATAACTTTAGCATAGTCTTATGGCTGTCATAGTGCTGATATCTCTTCATGGAATGGGTCATTGGTATTGAAATATATGTGAATCATTTGTATTTATCTAGAAATCTTTATCAGATCATTTCAGAGAATATATGGCCTCTTAGTGTATGTATCATTTTCATTCCTGAACAAACTTTCTTTCCTGAAGTTAATTCATTTGACATTTCCACATATTGCTGTTCTAGTGAAACACATCGAGCTTGATAAGACACAGCACCACAGCATTGTGGAATGTAATTGTCATACTTTTCTGTGTCAGTTTTTCCATTCACAAATACATTTGTAAAACACAAAAAGATGAAAACATGTTTTCTTCATCAACAATTTGACTTTCATAAAAGTGCACACTTTCACATAGTTCACAATGAAGCATGCATTATTTTCAAATATCACAATTTCATATAGATGTGAATTCATTCTCGTACACATCACCATTGTTTCCCATTTTAAAAGTCATTCAGGTTCAAATTTGTGTGAATTTTTACCAGTACATTAAACTTTTCATAACATTGATTTAGAGAAATGAGAATTTGAGAAAATGATCTTGAATTGATGTTTGCATGTTTTATGAATATGAAACTACTTCTTGAAGGATTTACTGACATTCTGACAACATTGTTGTACTGTCATAACATTGTCCACTGCATGAGAATCATTGCCACTTCCAACAACTGAAGACCTATACCAGAACGTACCATTGATGTTAGAGTAAGGATGTTTACAATGAAGCACTTGCATGTCCTCCGACAGATGGAGAAGGAACTAGGATGTTCCAGAGCCAGTGTAGGGCCTGCCCACATTTTACGTAGCTATGCATGTCTTCATTTTCAGATGTACATGTCAAGATCGATTTTTCTCCTCCAATGCTTTGCCCCCAAACTGTCTCATCTCTGAGGTGCATGACTTCAGTTTGCTAAGTATTTCACAGTGCTGAAATAAGGAAACTAAATTGTGTTCGAATTTCAGGAATCTTGTCACTAGTAATTACCGGGAAGGATTGGATCTTGTTATTTATTGAATATGATGTTGCTAGAGTTAGACAAATCCCTGCAGTACTTAATTTAATTGTTGGGCTAAAAATATGTCCATGACATGCAGATTACTTGTATTGCTTGAAAAGACAAAGCAGCTTGCCTTCTCATAACTGAATTAAAGATCCTGAGACTTCTAATTCAGTTGAAATCTCTTTATAATTTCCTATGCAAAATAGTTTTAAGTGATGAAATGTATTAACAATCAAGATGCTAGCGAAAATGACCCTAAAATTCGGGTAGTGGTGATGTCTTCATATGCTTGGGTCTTTATATGTTCACAGTCAGCATCTTTTGTGTCCTCATGTTGAAGGTCAAAGACCTCCCTACTATATTCATCCCAAAAGCCCCATGCCTTATGAATCTCCATCCTTTTTCTTTGCATCAGATATATGTTTGACTGCTCTATTTCTCCATGACCAAATTTAGCCTTCTTTTCCCAATATCAGTGACCCAAATCTGATATTCTGATGTCCATTGCGAGTGTTTCTGTCCCTGAGCAATTTTCCATGTCCCTATGTCCATGACATAGGTTTCTTGTCCATTTACCATTTTGATGTTCCTACCTCCATGTCCCAGAGCCAACAATGTCAATACATGCACAATGTTCATGTCCCTATGTCCATGTCCCAGTCTTCATTTGAATTATACCCTTGTCCAAGATTTCATGTCCCACTGTCCATGATCCAACTTTAATGTCTCTATGTCCATGATCCACCTTTAATACCTCTATGTCCATTTACACATTTATGTGTGTCTTCCCCTGCCCCTATGCCAATAATGTCAATAAATGTCCCAATATTCATGTCCCAAACATAATGTCCCAATCTTCATTACCCTTGTCCAAGATTTCATGTCCCACTGTCCATGATCCAACTTTAATGTCTCTATGTCCATGATCCACCTTTAATACCTTTATGTCCATTTACACATTTATGTGTGTCTTCCCCTGCCCCTATGCCAATAATGTCAATAAATGTCCCAATATTCATGTCCCAAACATAATGTCCCAATCTTCATTACCCTTGTCCAAGATTTCATGTCCAACTGTCCATGATCCACCTTTAATACCTCTATGTCCATTTACACATTTATGTGTGTCTTCCCCTGCCCTTGTGACAATGATGTCAATATATGTCCCAATATTCATGTCCTTGTGTCCCTCTCTTCAATCCCATGATGGACTTGTCCAGCTGTTAAGTCCCTGTACACCTGACCAAGTTGTCATGCCACTGCATGTTCAAACTGCTTTGATATTTGTAGTCACCTTTAAGCATGGTCCCTGTTGCAAATGTCTAGTTCATTGATTATGTGATACTTGAGTTTTATGATAAGATCCCAAATTTCAACTCACTTCTTTTTTCTCAAAACGAACTTTGCTTTCATTTTGTCCTCCACAGGTAAGTGATATGGATGGTATCAGTTGGATTATGTGCTAATCAAGAGTTCACTGAAATATATTTATTCATACATAAGTATTTTTTCATGGTTTTGTTGAGGGGAATCTTGTTGTGGGGTTTTCTTTGCCAAGGTTTGTATATTCATACTGTCAGATAAAGAATCTGTATTTCACATTAATGGGAATGTTTGAACACTCAGTTGATCAGAAGAAAATCTTGTGGGGAACTTTGATCTGCAAAATGTTTTTGTGCAACTTTATGGTAAGTTCTATAATGTCCAGTAATGAATGATTGTAACACTGAAATTGACCACAACCTCTAAACACTTTGCCAAAAAGATTAAATATTCTATAAATAAATAAGTCAGGAAAAACTGATTGTTTAAATTTCAGAAATGTACTTCACACACAAAATATATTTTTGTTACGCAATTACAATGATACAAAGGAATAAAAAAAATTGATAACAAAAAGTACAGATTTTTTGTATCGTGTTTTTGCTAATTAGTACACAAAGATCAATAACAGAGGTAGAAAGACAAATGTCAATTATTATGTCAATGTCCTTCAAATAATACTTTAGCTAAAAAGGTGTTGTTGAGAGTCTCATGCTTTGACAGGAAAATGTTGTTATTTCAAAAGGGTAAGATGATTTAAGAGTGAAGACACTTACCATGAGCTTAACAAATCTGATCAGTTGACAAGAAGGTAGTACATTTAAGAGTAGCAGAGTCATAATGAATGGCAAGCTTGGATAATTAACTTGTTCAGAATATCACGACTTGTTCATTTCCTCAAGTATCAGTCCCTATTTCAGAGGAACATTTGAACTAACTATGTTGAAAGGTTTTTATGTGTGAAGGTAATAGCTGCTCTCTACTTCAGCTCATCTAAAAGGGTGGAGGGTTTCAAACTATTCTTGAAGGTGTTAAGTGGTTGAACGTCAAATAGGTTCAATTTTAGATCATGAAACGTTCAAAATACAGAGAAATGAAATGCATTTGGTGAAAATTAACCTAGAACTGCAGGAAAGTGTGTTATTGTTCGAGAGAGACACACTTCTTGAACCTGTTCACCACAGCATCCTGTCAAGACATTTTTACGAGTTTCATACATTGCATTGACTTTGAGTGAATGTAGTGAAAACCATGGCAAAATATCAGTGGAGTGCTTCAAATATATATATTCCTAAATCTGTAACTTTAAACTGGACAAAGAACAAGAACACACGTTTGTAACTTTTCAACAGTGATGAAAAAACTTAATTAGAAAACCTATGAAACTAATTACTAATTTTACATTGATGCCAATATTGTCAAGTAGAATTTCATTTCATTGTCAATTCTACAACAGGAGAACTTAGCTTTAACACAAGAACAATATGACATAGACCTCTCAAAAGAGGA